ATTTCTAAGCTTGGAGGTATAATTATTTTGCATCCTATTAGTTTTAGAACAGTAAGCTCTATTGTCTTGTTGCCATGTGCCCAAAGTCCATGAAACCATTAAATGCAGCATGATTTCTTTGTTTCACGCTGTTTCTATTTGTTAATGTAATATAATTATGAGTTTCCATTTCATGTGGTTCACAAATTTGGCTATTAAATTAATTTATGTCAAAAACATTTGTGTTTGCTTTTCCCATGAACAGATCTCATCATTTTAATGCATTGCAGGAACAGAACGCAATAAGAATGTAAACGGCAAACGAAGCAAAACTCTGAGACAAACTCTCTTATCAGAACCAAGAAACTAGTACCATACCGTCTTAAGACTCACAGCTCAACCTGCTCTGCAGTTGACCTTTATCAAGTTACGAGGTAGTTTGGGGGCAGATCCAAACTGATGCTCCGAATCTTTTCCTCATGTGGCGGATTAGATGGCTTTGAGATTGTTACAGTGGGCTTTAGGGGAGATCCTGCAGACAACAGGGAAGAGAGAACTCACTTTACAAACACAACAACACAGCAACACTATTTCAGCAGCCCTTGGGCAAGGGGTTACAGGATCAGGCTTGTAATGAGAGGATTGCCGGTTGAAAACCAATGCCCAACCTCTTCCTTCATTTTATACATGGTTTTATACATCTACTTCCTGTGTGATCTACTGGTAGATCCCCATCGACTTACTGGGCACCCCTGCTCTACACAGGGGGGTCAAATTCATTTTTACCAGGGTCAGTTCTAACTGTAAGACTGTATAGCTGTAACTACTCCATAGCTTATTTACATAGGTTACTGAAATTGATTATTACTGATAAATAATATTTATAATATTTAAAATAAAAATATTTATCAAGTTAGGAAACTCAGCATGGACTTTACTTATAGACAATAAAACACTTAAACTCTGCGGCCACACAAAATGACTTGGCGGGCCACATTTGGCCCGCAGGCCCTGAGTTTGACACGTGCTCGAGACCATTTAAAACTGTTGACAACAGCCACCAACTCTATGAAGCTAAATTTTGATTTTGATGGATATTTTTCTGGAGATGGACTCCAGACACCTAGGCACCCCGGAACAAAACGTAGGTAAAGAGTGAAATAGAAATAAGGAAAAGGATGACCGTGAGGTCTTCACATGGAAAAGCGATTACAAGGCTGTGTGTCTGAAGTGCGATTTACCACAGAAAAGTGAATCCTCTGAGCTTTACGTCCCATGGGAGTGAAGGCCTCTTCAGTAGAGCAGCGAGATCTGCTTACGTTAGTGGAGCTTTTTTCTTGAAGATGGTGGGTTTTCTGGGAATTCAGTAATCAGGGGACAGAAACAGATGGTTAGAAAGATGGCGCTAGCTGGCCTTTTAGTGCTGCCCTTAAATCAGATTGATTTGTGATATTTCTTCAAAGCAGCCTCGGGCTGTACGTTCACGTTTCATATCATTCCACTTTAACTTCATTGAAGTAACGCAGACGTCAAAGTTGTGAGCGGGAAGAGAGCCGATGCAGAGAAATCAAATGTAAAGAATGGCTAAAACCAGAATGTTGAATACTGTTAATGCAGGTGGTTGGTGGAAGGAACTGAGAGGGTCAAAGTGTAACTCGCTCTCTGAACTCTGACCTCTGCGTCTTCTCTTGATCCCAGCTGCTAGTAATATAGAGATAGAGTTAGCAGAGTCACCAGAGTCAATGTCAATGTCCATCAGCTTCTGTGCACGTTGATCACTCCAGGACCATCGGCCATTCACACTGGAGTCTGATGGCAGAACAAAAGTCCGGTCACAAAACGTTGCAGATGTTCGTTTACAAAGTTGGAAGTGCAGTGATTCCGGAGATTTGTGATCTACATCTGATTTGTGTTTTCGCCCGAAACCAGGAGACCAACTGAAAGACATTTCAGGTTATGTTGCAAAACCTGGACATGATCTGGGACAAATGTGGATTAAAGTGGCTAAATATGAAAGTTTCTGCTGTCGACCTCCACAGCATGATGTGATCATGGACTTTACAGTTTAAATTGATCGATTTATAAGATACAAGATTAGGATGATGTAGGCGTTAAGTCCCCTGTGAGGCTGGGAAGGAATCATTGGCGGACAAAAAAAAAAAAAAAAGAATAAATAAATAAAAATCAGGGTGCTGAATATTATGCTCAGTAGATTAAATTTATGAAAGAATTAAAGAAAAATTTAATCTCAGGATTACCAGAAATTAATCACAATTAATCAATATAAAACAATGTCCTAGGGATGAAAAAGAAAGGCACCTGTTTCTACTAATCTAAAATGATTGAAAAATAATTTCTGAAAAATTACTATAGATAGCTATTCAATAATCTTTTAGGAATTCTGTTCAGGAAATTAAGGATTAAATCAGTAGTTAAATTACAGATGCACAGTAATGACTAAAATCTACCAAATCCCTTGACATTGGCTTAGAGAACGCCTTGAGTTCCGACTTTGGGGAAGTTGTTGTTCTCAACACTATTAATCAGTCTACAGCTCCTAACAATCCCTCTGACAATTGCATCAGTCAGCTGAGGTGCTGTCCTGCGCTCGGTGAGCAAGAGGAACAAAGAACTCAAAAGGAACACACGTTTCCTTTTCCCTAATGAGAAGTAAAATCCTTCCACCAAAACAGAGTCAAGGCTTCCTGGGAAAACAAGTGACTGAATTTTTCTCGACCTCAGCCGGTGTGAAGCAGTGGCAGTTTTCCTTTACACATGGATCAAAGCCAAACAAAACAAAAAGCCATATAACAACATTGCGCTGTTTCCTCTAAATATGTCATGATTAGAGGCAAAAGTCTCTACGTAACCATGGAGACGATAAGGTTCAGGTGGAAACTCTGTCTTTCTTCACAGTCTTTTACTTTCATCAACCTTAAGAGGTCCAGTTTAAAGGAGTGGTAAGAGAAGCTGAAGAGCCATAATGATGTCTGGTGGACCGTAGTTGGTACAAGGTTATTCAGAAGAGGATGTTTAGGGCATCTTAAGATGCATGAAAACACGTTTAAGTTTCTCTGAATAATAAAAAAAAAGTTTCATAAACTACAGATTAAAGAAAAGTCGTCCGCAGAAAACTGTCAACGTACCACTATAGGAAGGGGGAACAAAAAAAGGCCCGTGGTCTTAGTGGTTCCAGGATGAATGAAGTATGAATTCCATCACTGCAATTCACAGGAATCACCCCCGCATTCCAGGTAAAAGATACTGTACAGCCCTTTGTTACTGTGTTTCACAAACACGGTATGTACAGATGACTAGTCTTTGTGTAAAACAAAACTGTTTCTAACTGTCAGGCAGGCGTTAAGATGGATTTTTGTCCTGGATTTATTTTCTTTGTCTTCCATTCTCCTTCGGTGCAGTTTTAAAGATAAATGAAGAATTAAATTATTATTATTATTAAATGAATTATTTATGATTCACATTTGCAAAAAAATCTTATCAATACACTGTGCATGAGTCAAAGTGAAAGGAGGGGAGTCCAGAACAGTCATTGACATTGTTGTCAACAATCAGATTTGTGCTACTCATCACAGTCAGTTCAACAGAGGGTTACTCCCTGTGAATCCTTGACCCATTTAGTTGAACACCACTCTCATACTTTTTTAGGAATTGAAGAGACACACAAAGATCTTGTTTTTAGTTGTTATAGCCATCTGCTGCCACCTAGTGGAGTATTTAACTGCCCCTCCCGTCACTGTCGGATAGACGAATAAAGAATTGTTATTTAAATTAAATAATATTTCTTCTAGTTATCTATCTATCACAGCCTCCTTGGTTGAGACGTGACTTCAAGCTCAGAGATGTCCCCATGGGAGAAAACAAATACCACAGGAAATCCAACATGTAAATTCTACTTGGATCACATGGTTTTTAGTAAGATATGAGTTTTTCTACCAGAATATTTCTCGGAAGCCATGTCATAAAGACTAGCCCAAATAAGGGCATTTTATGATTTATATCTCCTTGGAATTCTAAGATGGATTCCCAAGACCTTCGAATATGAAAAAAACAGACCAGACGATACGTGTGATAAAAAAAGGGAAAGTATCCAATATTGTTTCACTTCTAAAGTATGTTAAATTGTAGTTTTGCAGAGCTTTTCCTCTCATTTACAACGAGCGTGACTGCTTTCAGGTCTTTGCTTTACAAGTTGTAAGTTGTGTGTCCTTCTGGCCTTCATGGTGTTTCTATGATCCAGCTCAAGACAAATGTGCAGTCATTCTGCAACTCAAACAGATAAATCAAATACATTATTATGCATTTATTCACGCTTCTCTGATTTCCTAAATTCTGGAAAACAAAAGCATTTATGCATGCACTCCTGGCCACTAGGTGGCAGTAATGAAGCTTAAGTCTGTTTGCCCGCCAGAATCTGGTCACATCAGTACACACGCAAGTTTGACAAAAGTAATGTCTAAATGTAGAAGATAGAATATAAATATTGAAAAATATAAACTACTGTGGTACTGTGGGCGCAGTACTGTGGACGCAGTACTGTGGACGCAGTACTGTGGACGCTTTTCTTGGACTCATATTTAACTGGGCCTTAAGCAAATGTACTTCAGTAAATCCAGCGGGTGGAGAGATGGAACACGCAGCGCCTTATTACACCACTCGTGTCGGTAATGTAGGAATCATGACGCATTATTCTCATTTCGCAGCCTCGTCCTAATTTCTGTGCTGCTCACTGTGCTCCAGTGTGATTTAATTATGTTCTAATGGACATATTTACAGGGAGGCTGTAATGGCTGCAGCACAGATGGCTTCATGTAGCTTCGATCATTACTGTAAAAATTTACTCGTGAGCACCATGGATCAAAAAGCACCCTGGTGTTCATTCCCCGCCATCGCTCTTTGGCTCTGGGTTTCCATTACAAGACCATCGTCTCAATGATCCACTTCCTGATGAGTGTGACTGTGACTGGAGAGTGATGACATGTCTTGGGAATCAGCTGTTTGTTATAACAGCTGATATATAACAATTCTCTCAGGGTCTGCAAGGTCAAGAAGAAAAGATAAACCAAAAGCAAGTTGTTTTCTCATGTTAGTGTGGCTAACATTCAAATGTGAAGAGAGCAAAGGCACAACGAACAGAGCGAGAAAAGAGTGGGTATAAAGAAAGAAAGAAGGAAAGAAAGATAGAAAGAAAGAAAGCAGAAACCAACAGCCATTCTTCTCTTTCCTGTGCAGCAGGGAACAATTATCAAAGCAGCAATCTGTCAGTGGTGGCGCTGTGCTTGGGCACTGCAGTGCAGAAATGATGGCAAACTTAAGACACACTGGAGGAAATAACATGACTCCTGTGTTCCTGGTGTTCACAGGAGTCACATCAGGACAGAGAATTTTAAATGTCTTCATGCGCTGCTACCAGACGCTGAGACTACTGGACAAATGAGAAAACAACAACAACAACAGCAGTAATTCAAATGGAAAAATAAATTCTTAATGCCTGGTTGCAGATGTTAGTTAGTCTTAGTTACTGCGTCTACAGGTGAAGGATGGTCATTAAATTATTTCTGGCTCTTTGACATTTGGATAATCAGTCTATATCTCAGCTGTCCCCCCCATCCACGTTATATATGAGTGGGAGGGGGGATATTTCCTTTTTTTTTTCTTGATGTGTGTATACCGTTCATCATAGCAGGGCTCACTACCATACTGGACATCTCTCACCTTATACAGGACAACGCAGGGTGTTGCACATATTCTTTTATTGAAATATCAAAAATCTAGCCTTAGTCTTGATTCGAATACAAAAAAACCCCACACAACCTGCTAAATAAAACTAAACATTTGAAAACTTCTAAAAGTAAAAATGCACCTTTGTACGTCAACTTTAATCTGTACATGAATAGTTGTCTGTATGGGAATGATGAATGGGTATGTACCAGAAAATGTCCTGCAGATGGCAGCAGAGCCATTCGAGTTCACCTCGTGTGGCGTCACGTTATTTGGGGAGCAGCTGTTGTCGAGTCGAAAATAGAGACTTGAGAGGAAGATTTAAAGTGTAATGAAATCGTAAAATGTTTTGTGCAGCAGCTTCGAAACAAATTCTTCCAAATGTGAAAATCATCCATCAGTCCATTTATCCCTGTCTCTGTGGGCTTTGCCTCTTCGCCGGCCACGCAGCATCACACCAGTGTTTTATGTGCAGTGCTTGAATCATGGCATGGCGTCCAGTGATAATGATTTGACAGGTAGATGGAGCAGATCCATCACTTTTACTTGGGAAAATAAAGAGAGATAAGAACAGATCCTGCCGAGGTGACATTTCATTTATTTATTTATCTATTTATTGTGGCCGCCCTGCTGTTCATTTACATCACCAGGGTCCTGTGGCAGAGCTGCTCCACCCTCTGTGAATCAGTACGACCCCCCCCCCCCCCCACACACACTTCTACTGTTCTGGCTGGAGTTCAACTAGACGGTAAATCTCCTATAATAAAAAAAGCTGCTCATAAACACCTAATGGTACATCATGAATATTTTAGGGCCTTGAACATCCTACAGGAATGACCTCTGGAAAAACACCAAAACAAAAAGCTACAACTCCAACGGACACGTCTCAGAGCGACGCGGCGCCCGTCCAGGCGTGTTTTCCTGCTACTTTTTGAGTTTTTTTTTTTCTTGGCATGATTGGATTGATTTGTCATTTACGACAGAAAGAGCCTGGCTACGCGGCTGTGGATAATCCAATTTATCGCTGTGCCATTTATTACAAATTTCTGTGGCTTTTGGGTCCACTGTCACATCGATTCGTTGATTGCTTGCTTAGCTGGGTCCTAATGAGCTGCTGTCTGAATCACTGCATAATCAGCGCCCTAATTCACTTCCATGCCTACACTTAGACTCACGCTTCTGGATTTCCACTATTAACAAAAGAATGGACTGAAACATCCAGGCCTTCTTGATCACACAATTAGTGACATCATCTCTGCAGCCGGGAGGTTTCACTCGGACTTTTATTTCCCCCCCCTCTCTCTTTGTATGATTTTTTAGTGACGTCTGGACCCCACTGAATTAATTGTATCCATGTATATTCATTTGAAATGAAACCTAATATAGACATAACACTTTTCAAAAGTTAAACAAAATACCTTGTTCTACAGTATGTAGAAAAAGTCAGCAACAATATATATATAAAAATAAAAAACAATACACATTGTGAAAATTATTATGAATATTAACAAGGCTAATGTTATGACAGAGACACTGATGATGTAATGACTGAAGAAAAAATTAATTCTGCAATAAAAAGTAAAAAAAATATTAATTGATAAAAGTCCTAATTCTAGGAATATTATATGTAGAATAAAAAATAAAAATAAAACTTTTAAAATTTTCTTCAATAATGTAGTAATTGAGAAGAACACAAGAAAAATCTTCACATTTATATAAGTCATAACTTTCCACTATTGTGACTTTGACTCCAAAACATCATTATTCCCACAATTTCCATTTAATTGGAAAAAAATCCCTAGAAAAAAAGTCAAAAGTTTTTGACTTACTCAGAGTTTTCCTGGACTTCTCCTGGGTCACAGCAGCTGTGATGCTACACCAGTGTCAGACAAATCAGACGTTTTGATTTTCAGTCGTTTGTCGTCTGATGAGCTTCAGCTGAGCATGATGGACGAGTGAGCAAATAGCAGCAGGTGAGCGTTGAACCCTCAACCAACACTGGCCTGTCTGGGTGACATTTACTGTGAAGAAGACTTTAACCCTTGTAAGCTCGGGTCTAGGTGACCTAAAATATGTCTTTGTGTCTGTGTGCGTGTGCATGTTCCTGTACTGCATGACTTGTGCCAACTTTTCCTCATATTCATTAATAGGTGTTCGAAGTGTCTGGACAGACCACGAGCCAAAAGGTTTTCAGACAACATTTCTTTAATACAAAGTCAACATATCTACATACACAGTGGCTTTAAATCAATTATTATTCCAGATAGAATTAACAGTTTGAAAGTGATAGCACTTGTCCCTCATACAAAGGAAAAACTGTTTAAGGTTCTATTTAGTTTTGTAGATATGTAATGTATACGTTTTCTTTTTTTAATGTCAATTTTTTTTTTAGTGATGTTTGTTTCTGTTTCTCCCTCCTTCCCTCCCGACCAAATATTCGGAGTGATATTCCAGGGAAATTGTCAGATGTTTTTTTTTTTTTTTTAAAAGACTAGCATCTTTTACACAAAGTCAAAGAAGTAACACGTTGCACGAGCTTCCAAAAGACTTCCTCACTTCCACTTCTGGAGTGGGTCCAGTTCACCAAGTCTGTGAGAAGTGAGTCGGAAAAGTCCTGGGTTCAAGACTTGAGTTCACTCTGAAAACAGTTCCCCGCTCTTCAGAAGCGATGTGGTTAAGATGTGAGTTTGCAGCAGTTTTTTTTGTTTTTTTGTATTTCTTTTGGTTGGACTTCTTGGTCTTCCCATTGGATGCACTGTCTGTGATTCACTGTCTGTGATTCACCGTCTGTGATTCACCGTGTCCTGATTTCTTTCTGCATCCTATAACGAAACACGGTCGAACAAAAGCACGATGTGTGATTTAACAGGAGGGGAGCTGATCTACGTCTGCTCTTCATCTCCGTTAGCCGTAGATGAAATGATCTCGTCATATCGTCACAGGAGCAGCTGGGAATTTTGGGAAACCTGGAATTCTGTGGTCTAACCCTGGAACACAACCATATTTGACATCGCTTTAGTCTTAATGCACTGAGGACTTTAGTCCACTTCATTCCAAATATCCTAAAGCTGAAATAACAACATGTTTCCCATAATTTGCAGTTAAAAATATCCATTAAAGACCAGAGAGCAGAGCTGGGTGGAGTCCAAAATAAAAAACAAAAACAAAAACAAAAACAAAACAAAAAAAGCATCAGGAGGTCAGGGGGGAGAAGAACTTCGAACTTTGTAGATCTTCACCCATACATGGGCAGAATCTCGAGGGTCAAATGATACAAATACATATAATCTATATATTTGTTTATTTACAGGTATATTCTAGACCATAGTGTATATTTTTTAACAAAAATGACTGATCACATTATGACAAAAACTAAAATAAATCTGAGAACGTTCAAGGCTGCGAGGGTCATTCTCTGCATAAGGTCATTCATATTAATTCAGTTTTTTGTTTTTTTGATTGTTAAGGTTGGAAAATAAAAGACATTAAAATGGCATCTCCTTATCGGCACAGGATCTACCTGAGGGTAGAGGTTAGACACTGGTGAGTGGGGGCAAAGGTCTCAGGCATAGGGCTAAATATGACCTCTGCTGGCGGGACTAAAGAAACGCACAAAGTTTAATAAGGATTACAAAAATAAACGCACAAACCAAAGGAAAATTAGATATTTTTAAAAAACAAAAAAATTATATTTTCAAACATGAGCGCTGGCTGGTATAAAAGGAAAAAAAAACTTGAAATCATACTAAGATTTTTGGATATATTTCATATTCTGCTTTTTAAATATACTGTATATGTAGGTGTGAGTGCACATGTATATATTTATATGCATATGCGGCGCATAAATATATAACTACATATATGCACACGGACACACTCGGACTTGTTCTACACAACATTTTCTACAGTGAAAAAATAGAATGTCTTTGAACGTAACATGAACAAATAAGCATTTCTCTTTTTCTGCTAATATTTTTTTTTAAATCCTGATACATCATCTTTGTTAAAAAAAATAACTGAAACAAAAAAACAAACAAACAACTAAATTAAAAAAGTCAACTATGTCATGTAAAATAAGTTGGCATAATACGACATTAATGTTCCATAATGTTACAATAACAATAAGGCTTTTTTTTTCATCAGAAATAAGAAAAGATTACACACAGTTCTGTCCAACGTTCCGGTTTTTGTGCACAGCCACCGGAAAACCTCCGTTCACAGAATCCGTTCACGTCTTGAAAACCAAAGCACTGATCCGGGCTTTTCCTTCCGAGGAACCAGACTCTAGAGTTTCCTCTGGTGCATCCACCTGTAGCTGTTGTGGAGTTTGTTTTATTTCAAGTTTCTTTTCTTTCCTCCCATGTTTTTTTTACTTTGCTAAAGTGATGTGTGAGTGAAGTATTCAGTACCAAAGGATTTGTTGTCACACCGGGCTGTTGAGATCCAACATGGCCGCCTGGTGTGGCTGTGTGTCACCCACATAGACACCACCTATAAACAGAGGACAAAAACTAAAGCATCTATTTGATTTCTCCAACTGGTACCAAACACGAACATCGGAACTAGAGGCCATTTTGTTTTTTCAATCACGTGAACGTAAAGCTTTGTAACTGCAACAGGCGTCTGCCACAACTTCAGTGTCTTCAGTGTAAGATGGAGTTAAAGACAAGGCTGGAAACAAGAGGAGGGCGAAGAGGAGGAGGAGGAGGAGATGGAGATGGATGACGATGACATGCATGATGCACTCGTTGTCATCTCCCCCTGGTGGTTGTGAGCGGGACAGTGACGATGGCGTCTTCATTTGCGTCAGTTTCCTTCGATCCTCCAGAGTCACACGTACAGCATACACAAGATAAGCAGCATGTTTGGTTTTGACAGTAAAAGAAAATGAAGTAATACCTCATAAGACAAAGAAAGTTTTTTTTTTTTTTTTTTTAAACAATGGTGATCATTGGTCACTGTACACAGAGAGCGCTCCGAGTCTTCGTCAATCCTCGTTTGGTTTTCCTGGTTCATGTCCAGTGTCTTTCCACCTGACTGAACATCCGGTGGTTAGTCGTGTCAAAGTCCCACAATGCAACAAGGCCAAGGAAGAGGAGTGATTGTACCAGATCAACAACATTGACCACTTAACATCCACTAAGTGACCAGGCTACAGCTTCTGGCAGAGGACAGGATTTTTTCCCTCTAAGTTCTCTGGAGACAGAGACATCCCGACTTCCTGTGGCGTCTGATTCTGATTCCATGTTGTTAACGTGAAGAGTTGAGTCTCATTCCACACATGTTAAGCATGTTAATAGTGGAAAAGTTTGACGCTGAATGGGAGCATCCTCATGCTAGCTAGTGTTTTTGGTGAACACAGTTTGGGGGAAAATCCATCAGTTTTAACCAAGAAAAGTTGAATTTGGTCATTTCTCACTGAAACCCCAAGTCTGTAAAAAAAGTCACCCGTTCATGGCTGCATCCATTTGCCTCTCCTTGACTCCCCTCCCACTGCCTTCTCCTTCATCAGGTGTTGTTCACTATCACTGTATCACAAAGAGATTTTTTTAGACGAGAAAAGTCCACGAATGTTTACAACGTCCTCCACATTGAAACACTTGAGGTAAAGTAAGCAGTCTGACACTTTGATCGAATGTTGCCCCACAGCTTGAGCCACGACTTCTGGTTCCTTTTCCTGACGGGGATTTTCTTTTTCTTAAGGATGGAAGAAATATTCCACCCTTTTTCTTGGCTGAGTTCCTGATTAAATTGGCTGTGAAATCTTCATTCAATTTTGGCCACGACCTTGGGTAGGCTCCTGTTTTGTGTTTTTGTAAATTAGTGGTGGAGTTAGTGCCTGCTTTCAGAGTTTCTATGGCTCAGGAGACTGTTGGGGGGGTCGGGGAGGGGGGCGACAGGACTCTGTGGGCAGAGATGGCTTTTTACGTTGCATAGTGATCAAAGCTTCCTAAGTACTCCAGGGCCGCGTGGTAGCAGAACTGATACTCGTCCTGCGGAGAGGAAAATAAAAACATAGTGTTTCAGAAAAAATTTGGCGCGTTTTTTTTTCAGTCACTGAAACAGAGGTGTGGCTGAATATTGACTCGGTGTATTGACTGTGTGTGATGCCTGACCTCAGTCTGGACCATAGCTGGTCTCTGCGTCCGGAGCATCTTCACAGTCTGGAAGATATCAACCACTCCTTCGTAACGCATTCTCTCCAAGACGATGCTGAGGGTGATGAAGACTCCAGTTCTGCCGACACCGGCGCTGGAAACACAGGACCAGAAGACATGTTACAGGTAAAAAGAACGACACCAGGGACCAATGAACTGAACACCGTGTTTCTGGTTCACTATGAATTGGCTGTGACTACAGTTAGAGAGTGAAGGATTATTTGTCTGTGAATACGTATGACCCTGTGATTGACCCCACCCTCACCCTAATGACCCCGCCCTCACCCAACGGTGACCTACTCCCCGTGTCACAGTCCGACGTGGTTTTTAAATATTTCCTTCATTTAAACGTCACTCTCTGAAACAGGAGGAAATTCAGTCAAACTATTCAACACAAAGTTTTTGGTGAGTCAACTTATTTCACCAGCTACAGTTTTTGTTTCAGCACGGTGACGGCAGCTGTGCGGCGTCTGCCCTGCTGTCTTGTCTACTCTCTGGCAGCACACACACAAACACACACGCAAACACACACAGCAGTGTATTTCACTGACGCTGCAAAATTTCAGACAAATATTTCTCGGCAGGATCAGTGTTTGCATTAATTGGAGGAAGATGTGGAAGATTCTCAGAGCAGGATATGACCTGTTCATCTGAAACCAAACCAAACACGGCTTCTGAAGCCAGACGGACAGACGGATGGACGTCCAGCCTTACAGTGGAGCCGTGGTTAGACATTTAGAGTCGTATTGTCCAGATTTACTGCTCACACACTGGTGCACAGTGAATATTTTCTTATTTCCTAATCTTCTTTGGTTTACACCATCAACAAGCAGCCGTTTTTAAACCAGAGTCAATAATCTGAACACGTGCAGCTTCTAAAAAAAAAAAAAAAAGATCAGCTCTAAGACCTTCATTCCCAAAATCCAGTGGTGGTGAGGAGACATCTCCCACATCACACACAGACACTTTAAATATTCAAAATGACATCAAGGACACACACACACACACACACACACACACACACACATGCTCTGAACGATGCACACAAACAACTGAGTAAATATTTGGTCCTAAGCTCCTTCTCCCATGTGTTAAAAAACCCTCAGCTGCTGCTGCGGCTGGCGCTGCCCGCGGCGCCGGCTCCGGCGGTT